AAGCAAGCAAGCAAGCAAGCAAGCAAGCAAGCAAGCAAGCAAGCAAGCAAGCAAGCAAGCAAGCAAGCAAGCGGTCTGTTCAGGTAGGCATATCTGTTTGTATAGAGTGGAGGGGGGTATCTGTGGAGGTCTGGGGGCAACCTGGTGCCCCTGTCTTCCACAGACTCCAGTCTGCAGGGCAACCCATCTCCCCTTCTGAGAAGATGGCATCTGTATCCTCTACCAAGCACTCAAAGGTCAAAATGTGCCCCTTTTGCTGCTCTGTAGCTGCTATGATGCCACTTCTCCAATGTTGAAAGGGGGTTTTCCACATGTTGCCCACTCCTAGTATAGACAAGCAGCCAGTCATGTCAGTCCCATCTGCAGTCTGAAGCAGTCCAGACACTGGCTTAGCAGCTCAGCAAAAACTGGTCCAGGGACCATTTCCCAGTCCTCAGAGGCCTGCAGAACTCGGATCCCTCTTCTCTGCTTGTTCCAGCTATGCAGAGTTGAGGTCCCAGAGTCACTTCCGTGGACACACATCGAGTTGTGCTAAAATTCCCAGACCCTTCCCTGAGAAAAGCCATGGCTCTTTCTCTGCCTCCCACCATGGGGCTCCGGCATGCTCTTCCCACCCGGCGCTGGGATCGCATCCTCACCAAACAGTTGGCACCTGGGTTGTCCAGTTCCGAGTGGGTCTTTTCCTGGCTCATGGCCTCCTTGGCAGCGTGAAGCCTCTCTCGGATCTCGAAGCCGCAATCGGACGCCCATCTCGCCCTGTGCAGCCTGCTCGTCTTCCTCCAGCTGGACAAGCATCACCCTTCGCCGCTCGTGCAGCACCTGGTGCAGCTCCGTGAACATCTCTTCAATGCCGCCACGCAGCGATGCCGTGCAGGCCTGAAATGCAGGATGGGCGTGTGTGACCTGCAGATGCCGATTCAGAAGCAGCACCCACTGGCCTCCGTGGAATGTACTGCTGGGGAAGGGCATAAACAACCGGGTGGGATGCAGGTTTTAGCTGAGTCAACGGTGCTGCGGGATGTGGACTTCCCGAAACCCTCTACCCCACAGGGGCCCTTCCAGCACCCTGAAGATGCTGCACGAGCCTTTTAACTGAATCTGCATGAAGAGCACAAATCGGAGCCAAGATCTGCCTTCTGGGGTGGGAGACCTCTGCACACAAGCAGCACCTCCATCTGGGGGATACTGCTTTGCCCCACAGTTTGGTGGGGCAAGGCAGGGCTTTGGCAGGGCCTCGCTTGGCAGGGCTTCTTGGCCCTCTCGGTAGCATTTGCAGGGGGCTAGAAAGGCTGGCATGGGAAGGATGGGAAACCTACTGCCGCCAACCCAGCTTCCCGTGCCTAAATCTGGTCCCAACCCCAAATGTCCACTGCCAGAATTCTGGGAGCTATTTAGAATATAGCCATATACATCTTTAGACAGAAAAATGTCCTACAGCTTCCAGTATCCTGCAACCAACATGGGAGTTATAGCGTGTTTTTTTCTGTCTAAACATACCTAGAACAGCACCCTGAGTGAGCCAAGGTGGCTGGCAGGAACTAAGATAAGCATCTGGCCATCCCAGCTGCTTCGTGGCTCAAAACTGCACTCTTCTAAAGTGACTTTCCCATTTTTAAAGCAGCTGCCACTGCCAAAGATACCTAGGATTCTCTTCTAACCATTTGTGAGCCCCCAGTAATTGCCTCCAGGCCAAATGGGAGGACAGTATTTCTCTATATCCTGCTTTGTTTCCTTCCGAGGAACACAAGACAACTAACATAATTCTCCTCCAATCTTATCCTTACAACAACAACCCTGTGAAGTAGGTTGGGAAGGGATGGGGAGCCAGGGTGGAAAACATGGCTTGCAGTTCAATACTTTAAACTGTCTCATGTTCTGAGATCGTTATGATATATTCTGTTTATAACCAACCAGTTAATTAAATAATATCTAATATTTTCTTGCGTCCATTTTGACTATTGCACTTTGATAAATTGTTGTGAATTGTCCAGAGAGTTTCAGCTGTTGGATGATCTAGAAATAAAATGTCAATGGCCGACTTACTCTGCTGTTTCTAAATTGATTAACTTGATGGGACTGTGAGAAAGTTTCCTGTACATTTCAACATGACCCGGAGTGCTACTGAAACAAATGGAGTTACGGTTTCATTCTTACCCTCAAAGAAGATATTTTTTCTATTTGCTGTTCTTCCCTCTCTTCAAGTGTCCTAATTCTGGTGCCCAGATGCTCCAGGGCCTCACCCAGCTTCTCCTAGGGGAGGAGGAAAACATAGAAACGTAGAAAAGAGACGAGTCAGAAGGGGTCTCCCAGGACATCTAGTCTGACCTCTGGCACTAGCCGGATCCGCTTACGACATGCCCACCATGTGCATGTCCAGCCTATCCTTGAACACCCTCACCGACGGGGCCTCCACCACCTTCCTCGGAAGCCCATCCCATCTCCTAGGGGTCCTAACCATCAGGAGAGACTTCCTGACATCCAACCTGAAGCCTGTGTTGTGAGGCCGTAACTCACGTCTCCAATTAACTCACACAGCAGCCGGCAATAAAACTAAAGACTTTCATTGCTATTTGCTACAAGATTTACGATGCAACAGATAAGCTCTGGTGAGGAGCTCCTTGCAGCTCAGTTGCCCCCTCGCTTCTGAACCCTACAGGAAAGGTCACGTGGATTTCAACCTTCTCTCACGTCTTTCTGCACGTGGGTGGGACAAACTTCTCTCTCGTGGTCTCAATTGGTCTAAGTGCCGCAATTTTCTCCTAAGATGGATGTCCCCTAAATCAACTGCCACTTCTTCCTGTTCTCCAGCACTCGGCCCAGCAGCTTCAGAGTCAGGAGGCTGGGGAGCAACTTGCTCAAAAACCTCAGAGTCAAGAGGAAGGGAAGCGGCACCCTGCTCAAAAAACTCAGAGCCAGGATGTGGGGAAGCTCCTCACTTGGAAACCTCAGAGTCGGGCGGCAGGGGGGCCGTTTGAGCCATGGGCACCAAGTATAAATCCCCCTGCTCCCACGCCCGACTCTCACTGTGAGCTTCTGGCCCTCTCTCCCGTCAGGCACGACAGCCTGGCTCCTGGAGCTCTGAGCCTGGTCCCTTGTTGCAAGATTGCGCCATCCAACAAGAGGTCCTGTTGCCCACCTGCCTTACAATGCCTTGCCCGTTCACCTTGTAACGCTGAGCAGCATCCTTCAAGGAGCTGAACTGGTGCCCCGCACGAGCTGACGAGTCAAGGCAGCGATAGCAAATCAGGGCCTCACCGGAGATGCAGAAGAGCTGAACAGGTGCACCGTGCCTTTCGCAAGCGCCCTGCTTGGCCCTTTTCCTCCTTCCCCATCTCCACGCCTCTTCCCACCAGCTTCTGCCCCTTTCTGCGTGGAGCTGCTGCTTGCTTCCTGGGGCATCCCCACGCTCTTTTCACCAAGGTCTCCAGGAGTGGGTTCGGGGTGCACTGTCTGCCAGGACTGGGTTGCCGGCACTCTGGGCACATGGGAACCCTCGCTTTGCTGTCCCAGGAGGAGGTGATGCAACGACGGCAGAAACAGCATCCGCAGCTGAGCAGCACCGGCTCAACGAACACATCCAGGCACAGGGAGCAAGTGAGAGCAGAGTGCAATCTGCTCGCCATTACTGCCTCCAGCTGCCTGGCCAATGCAGAGTACAGAATTCAGTTTCACTTTCCTTTCCCTGATTTTCTGCTCTTGCTCTAGCTCTGACACGACTTTAGGGCGGGAGCTGATGTTTAGGGCAGCAGTTTTCAACCTTTTTACAGTTGGGGACCAGCAAAAACAGGGAAATTATTTCAGGGACCGCTGACCAGAAATAAAAAGCATTATATACATCATATAGTATTTTATGTATCCATTTTTAAATTTAGTACCAAAAAATGACGATTCTCTAAAATAACCAGACACTGACCAGTAAAAATGCTAATAAAAGAATAAAATATTGAAATTAAATTTAATTGAATACAAATGGAATTTTTAGAGAGCGAAATGTAATTCAAAGAAGACTACTGCAAAAACTGCTGCTGCTTTTTTTCAAGAACGCTCGATCAAATATTTACAATAGCAAAATACAAAATCAATATAAATGCAATACTGTGCTCATAGCAAATACAAATTCAAATGCAATGTGAACAGCGGAGCAATGCAAAAGCAAACAAAGTTGCTTCATACAATAGTATTCATAACATTCAACAATGAAATACAATGACACCCCCCCCCAAAACTGATTTACACACCAGTGCAGACTGGCTGAGAAGGCGCTCTCGGCTCCAGCCGCCTCAGCAGTTCTCCTCCCAGCAGAAAACCCCACAGAGAAAGGAAAGGGTCGGGGCTTTGGGGTCCTGCCCAGGGGGCGGACCCGGCTCCATGTGACCAGGTTAGGGATTGCGTTAAAAGGGATTGAGGCATGTGGATTAGTCAGAGGATAGGAAGGGAATCCTTCTTAGGAAGAAAATAGGCTTGTTTCATGAAAGAAAACAAGGATTCGCTTGATTTCGACTGATTTTTCCAGAGGTCTTTCTGTGTCCTATCACAGAGCACTTTGGCCTCTCTGGACTAAGTCAGAAAAAGTGGGTATCCGGCACACACGGGCGCCATCATGGTGCAAGAGCACAGATCCAGAGCTCAGATCCTCATGGGACCCACCTGAACCCTGAAATCATAATTCGCACTTCGGTCCAACGACTGAACCACAAGAAATCAGGATGTGGATCCTCGTTAATCTGCCTAATTTAATTCCCTTTAACTTCCACGGAAACGACCATCAACAGGAGTGTCACTGAGATTCACAGACTGAGCAGCAAAAGATGCTTCCTGGCTTCTTCACTGCACAAAACCAGGTCCTAAGGTACAGATTGCCAAAGATCCTCTGGGTTTTGCATGGGGTCCCCCCAGATGCCTGCTGATTCATGGATGGCACCCAAACCTGAAGCAAACTATAAAAACAGGAATCTGACATATCTTGGTACTAGTAAGGTTCTGTGGCATGGATCCAAATGGATCATTTGGGTTTTTACATGAGCTCACATCTTACAAAACATACGAACACATGGACTAAACAATAAAAATTGTGTGTGTGTGTTTTAGAAAGCACTACCATGACACAAAATAATGTGAGTCCCAGATTCCACCAATTCTGCTGGATTTTGTTAGTGACATCTCCCCACAGCAAAGTAAATGGACAAACGGCACCCAACATCATGGACCGAATCATATACATTACAAATTCAAAATACCATTCAGTCAGTAAGACACCAAGCATGGCTCTGGCACCCGGGGTCCCCTAAATTATTTGAGGGGATCCTCACAAAGTTGCCATGAAATCATAGTTCCTACCTGTGGCTGCAAACCAAACGGTCCAAATTGCTGATCCTGTACTATTCTGATCCAGCATGGCATAAAACATGAATTTGGACATAGATCTTGAGAGAACCTGCAGGTTTTTGTACTACTCAAGAGCACATCCATACACAGGAGTTGCACCAAATTAGCTACTTGCCTATTAACTATTAACTATGAACAGGACCACCACAGCATGTACACTAAAATGAATAGGAGGCACGGATCTCTGTGAATCATATGATTTTTCCCTGGTTTCCTACCAAAGCTGCTATAAAATCAGAGCACACTTCCATATTCACAGACTGGACTGTAAAAATCACATACGCAGCTCTTCACAGCAGTGCCAATGGAAAAAACTCATTCAAGGGGGATTTAGAAGGAGTTTACACACGCGGGGCAGAAAGGTATACAAGTATATACTTGCATATTACCCTGTTCTTGAATTGATAAAATGGAGCTTTAACTTTGACAGCCGTTTTTTTAAAAAGCAACTATGGGCGACCCCTCTGACGTGCCACTCGGGCACTTTGAGGGCACCGTCCTTAACTGTGAAACATGAATCAGGAATGCCAGCTTGAGGGCTGGCTTTCATAATATCAAGGAAAGAAAAAGGTAAACCACAACACACAGCCACAACAAACCACATTGGACAGCCACATGTCGGGTATTACGTGAGCAGAGCCTGCTGGAACCAGGGGTCAGACTAGATGGCTCGGGATGCCCCTTCTGACTTGCTATGTTTCTTTGTAAAGTGAAAAAAGCTGCAGCAAGCCAGAGATTTATTTATTTAGTTATTAAAACATTTCTATGCCGCCCCATTCGCCGAAGCCTCGGGGCGGCTCACACCATTAAATTAAAATACAAGAAATGACAATATAAAATAAGTCGCCCTGGCCAGAGATGGTTTGTAGTCACAGCAGGTATGGGGGACGTCAGCGCCAACTGCCTCCAAGCGCCCACTGGGTGCTTCTGGGGCACCTGGCAATGGCGGGTGTTACCACTCGTTCTGCAAAAATGGCAAGGGCTCTTTCTCCTGCTCTTGCCAAGTGTATTGGTAGATGATTCCCCATACCCAAGAGGGGGTTGGTCGCCTGACACAGCAACCTATCATGGGTACAACCCCTAGAATAATCCAGGAGTTGCCAGGGTGGCTTGTTGCCTTCACTAAAGCCACCCTGTGGGAATCATTTTGGATCCCTATGAAATGAAAATCCATCATAGGTAGCAAGCCATGATGGGCCGTCGTATCACGTGAACAGAGAGGGCGTTCTCTGTGTTGGCATCCAGACGCTGAAACAGTGGGAGGTGGAGCAACAGTGAAGCGCAGCCTTCTTCGGTGGGCTTTTGACAATGATTGAATCCGCCACGTTTTCTCCCTAGACTGTACATTTGCTCTCCTTAGACACATTGGAGCAATCTTGTATATTTTATTTTGCAACGTTATGCTTGCTGATTTTGTTCCACTGATGCTACTTTTTAGCAGAAGAAGAGCGGAGAAATAAAATAACATACTTCTTCGTGTAAGGGGTGTCTGAGGAATCTGCAACAAATTCAGACCAGCTCAGATTTCCGTGAATCTGATTTGGGGGTTCTGCACTTGACAGACGTTTCCAAGTTCTGCAGGTTTGTGGATCATTTTTATAAAAGGGATCTTTTGGTGGGGAGATTTGCACCGATGTGCTCATGCACACTTGCAGTAACGAAATAATGCACATTAGTGCTAATGCACATCTGTGCAAGTGGAAGAAAATGCTTATAAAAGCGACCTGATTCTACCAATGAGGGAATGATTTAACAAAAGGCAGCTGACAAACTGCGAAACACAGACAGAAAGGATTTAACAAAATCCATGCCCTCCTCCATGGCTTGGATTACCTGCTGATACATGCAACTTGAGCTGTAATTTGATGGGAGGCATGCCTCCAGGAGCCAGGAGGCTCCACATGGGTTTTGGTCTCATTTCAGGGCCACAGAGCACTGCTGGACTCATTGCCTGCCAGCCAGATGAGACCCTGAGTCTCCGGTGGGCCTTTTGTGCAAGAGGCACGAAGCCCCCATTCTGCTCACAGTGTCAGAGACTTGGCATGCTGGATGCTTGCTGATTTTTGGCATCTTCCACAGATAAGGATTTAAACCGTGACCTGACCTTTTCTTTTAGATGTTCCATGTAAAGCCTGCGGTGATTCCTGAGTATCTTTTCCTCATATACCTGCTGCTGTTCCAGGAGAACACCTCGTGCCAAAAGAAATATGCCTCCATAGCCAGTGTGCATGGAGAGGCGATTGGATGGTGGATTTGGAGAGAGAGGCTCACATCTCACAATAGCTCAGCGATTTCAAAACGAACAGCCACCCAGGTTGGGAAGGTGACGACATGTGGGCACACACTGCCCCACTGCTGCCCTCTCTGCGAATGGGGAGCACTCCGAACGTGCTTGCTAATATTTCTGCACCATACAAGAACTCCGGTTCTTCTGCTCCCCAGCAAGCCAGTGAAATAAGCCATAGTGTGGTTTGTGGTCGGTGGTCTGCCTGGCTGGGGAAGGAAGGAAGGAGGCTGGGCACCTCGCCTGCCCGTCCGAGCAAAGAATCGGCAGATGACGCATCCCTGGGTAGCCCCGCAGATGAATAGCATTTGACGCAGATCTCTCTCACGGGGTGCATATGAGACGCAAGATGTTCTTGACTATCTTGTACATAAAAGTCGAATAGAATCATCCCCAACGTTTAAAAGAACAGAAGAGCAATCAGAATATAACCCTTCCTAGCAAATCCCAATACTTGCATGCTTATAGATGGCCATAAAAGTGCAAGGCAGCCCAAGTCCCGTCGGCCTCCATAAGCATTTGCATGTGGGCTTAAATAATGGTGGAGATCAGGAAGTCTGTGAGCGCATCTCCTGACTGAATCGGTACAAGGAAAGCCATGCGCCATCAAGTCATCGCCAACTTACAGCAACCCCATGCATGGAAGCCCCCCAGGATGTCCTGTCCACGACCTGCTTGACTGTTTTCATAATGGGTTATTGTAGAGGTACATGGAGCAGGTGGAATACAGAAGGGACCCCCCCCCCCGCCTGCTACAGGGGTGCACTCACTACCAAGGGCCAGGCAACGAGATTTATTTTTTCAGAGGAATGTTCCCATATGTATGTTAAAGTTCTGGAAGCCTAATGGGGAAATCTCAGAACAAGTGGTGGTGGTGATCACATCCATGCATTGTGGCAGCCTGAGCATAATTTTATATTATTATGTTTGTATCTCAGTGTATTTTTTGTATTTTTGTATTTAGTGGTAATTTATTATGTTCTATTGTATTTCAATGTATTTTATTGTGTTGTAAGCCGCCCCGAGGCTTCAGCAAGGGGCGGCATAGAAATGTTATAATAACAACAACAACAACAACAACAACAACCAGCCCATAATGTGGGGCCCTTGACATGGTGCGTGGATGTGCCACAGTGCTCATGGTGACCTGTGAGCGCTCCCAAATCAAAGGACCGCGCAGGGCCCCAGGCCCTTCAGAGGTTCACGAGTGCTCGGCTCTCAATGTCTTTATTTCTAATTACACGACTACTCATCAGTTCCACTTTGTTTGCTTCAGACTTCCTTTACACAGTGATGCCCAGTGTTTCGAGCTTGGCCTGCCTGATGCTCCTGCTGGCAGAGACCGGCACTCAAGGATCTGAGGACCACTTGATGGATGGGGTCAGCTCTCACCCTAGGACCCTCAGATTCATAATTCAAAGGCGGGCAAGGGGCACTGAGCAAAAGTTGGCGAGAGGCTCTGGATGTCCTGTGCAACACGAGCAGAGGCAGAGGCCTGTCTGATCGGAGGCCATTCACCAAAAGGTAACGGCCGGCAAAGGAGAGAAAGCAACATGGATGCAGATGCCATGTGCCACAGCCTAAAGGATTCAGCCCAAGAGAAAGCCGTATGGAATGATAAACCATCTTTTCTGTTAGCTTTAATTCCGTCTCCAACAGAAGACAGCTCCTCCTGCTTTTTCAATTTCTCCACCGTCTTTCTCACATTTTTAGAAAACTGGAAATGACAAGGCACGTTTACAGTGCAACTCTATGTATGTCTACACAGAAGGAAATCCCAGTGATTGGGGCTCACTCCCAGATAAATGTCCATTGCATTGCAGGCTAGAACTCTTTGCCGTCAGTCTGAATATCTGAAACTGTGAACACACACACAGGAGCACAGCACAAGAACCTTTTATAATAGCAGTAACTCCAACATTTTTTGTAAAATCTGCTTGTTCCTCAGAGTAGCCACGATCCAACAAAGCGATGTGTAAGCAAAAATATGAAGAAAGAATCAGCTTTTCCTTTGAATCCTCACCCTGGCAATGGAGACTTGAAACTATTTCTCAAAATGACGGAGCCATGTGGCAGAATACACTCAAGGGCTTCTCCAATTTGTACGCAACCGTGTCTTTCACAAATGTTTCATTTGCCCCAAAGTCAACAGCACCAACCCAGGTATCTGCCCGCAACCCCCCCCCGACCTCGCAGAATTACAGGCACGCAATGGACAGCGAGAGAAACAGAGGCAAGGCTTGCCCCAGGGTTTCCCTCAACCAACCAGCTTGCAGGAAAGAGGGACAGAGGCACTGATGGGACTTCATCCCCTGGCAGTGACTTGCACCTCACCACCCCTTGCATGTAGCAACAGCCCGGAATATGTTAAATCGTGGATTGTCGTCACATGAGAACTCTGCGCAGCGATTTAACCAGGAGCTGTTAACCCGGAACAACCATGGCAGAGAACCGAAGGCTTGTCCCTGGGTTGCAAAGTCTGAGTGATCTGTGGTTAACCACCTAACGTTATAGCAAGGGCAGGGTTCATACTGAGAAACACCTGATGCAACAACCCATGTGATTCAATAGCAACCAATGTTCTGGATTGTTGTTACATGTGAACCAGGTTACTGTGTACCCACTTGATTCCGTCTCAGCTTCCAGGAATTCAATGAAAGTGTGAATGGGGAGGCAGTTGTGCTTATGGACGCTGCTCCACATGATAGTAAGTCCTGTGTGATCCCGGGTCCCAGCTGCACAGAGGACTCTACAGTGCATAAAGCTGGCTTACCCTTCAGGCAGTCACCTGGCACACAGAGGCTGTGCAGTGAAACTGGAGATCGCGCAAAAAGGTGTGTTGAAGCACAGGAGCCCTTTGCCTGTATCAATGACAGCAGAAATAAGGGAGCCAGGAAAGGATGGTGTTTCTACACCAGCAGAAGCTTCCACTCAGCTTCTCTGATAAACCATTGAATCATGTTTCAAGATTTAAGAAAGATGCAGGTAAATTAGAAGGGGTCCAGAGGAGGGCAACAAAAAGGATCCAGGGTTTGGAAACACTGCCCTGTGAGGAGAGACTGAGAGAATTGGGCATGTTCAGCCTGGAGAAGAGGAGACTGAGGGGGACACGGTATCCCTAAGTACCTCAAAGGCTGTCACAAAGAGGGAGGGCAAGGTCTCTCCTTGCTGATGCCAGAGGGTAGGACACAGAATAATTAATTCAAGCTGCGACAACCCAGATGCAGGCTGGACATCAGGAAGTTTCCTCACGGTCAGAGCAATACAACTGTGGACCCAGCTGCCTAGAGAGGTGGGGGGCTCTCCCACACTGGAGACATTCAAAAGGAACCTGGACAGCCATCTGAGTGGGATGGTGTAAACTGGTGTCCTGCAACATCAGGGGTTGGACCCGATGGCATTCTTGACCCCTTCCAACTCTACTATTCTATGATTCTATGTTCTGAGTCAGGGACACGGTACATGCAGCTGCTGAATGGCACCTCCCATGCTGGCTGGGGCTCATGAGAGTTGGTAGTCCAGTAATATCTGCAGGGCCACAAGTTGCCCAACTTTGTGCTAAGGGTTGGCCAGGAAAGGTAAAAAGATTTGGTGCTTCAGCCCCAGCTGCTTTGCTCTAAGGAAAGCCTGAGAGTATTCTTGAAGGCAGTGCCCAGCATGCACTCCCATCCACGGGCCACTGACGTGGGGCAGGCATACAGCTCCTCCCCAGTGCAGAACATAAAAGGACTTGCTGAGAAGCCTGAAAGAGCTAGCAAAAACCTCCATACAGTAGCTCACGCTCTCCTCAGCTCGGTGCCTCCCTTTGCATAGGACTGCAACTCCCATCATGCCTTACCAGTTTGACTAAGACCACTGGTCGACTTGAACAGATTGCTCCCTGCCCCCAGGGTGAGGGCCCCAGGTGGAGGCCAAGGCCTGCAGGCCATCCATCCACCTGTGGTTTGTACCCCGAGAGCCTGTCCCCAGGTCCCTTGCACGGCCCGACTGTGCGAAAAGCAGCACACCATTCACCTTATGGGAGCTGTTTTATTTGACATTACAGAGAGCACATTTCCTTCTTTAGCACAGCGGGCAGCAAGGCTCAGGTGTAGGCAGGCACAGGACCGTCCTTGCTAGGTAGTCAGAAGGAAGAGAACACCTGAGTAGCAGAGAAGGAAAGGAACATGGCAGGCAGACAGATGTGCAAGAAGGGATCCCATGTGCCAGCCAAGGGGGACCTTGCAGGGGAAATGGAGGACAACAGCTCTTGGTGCGGATGGGACGTGTCCCATCTCATGGACCATACCCACTGGACAGGTATCGCGGCCCCTTTCTTGGAGTTTCACTCTCCTCTCCAGCTTGCATTTCTTTCGAGGCATCACACCCGTTCTTGAGCTGCTCATACCAGCATCTCCTACGGACAAAGTTGGGGACAATCATCATTTCTTTTGTAGGAAATAAAGGCACTGTACTGCACACTCTTGCAGAGTTTGAACCCCATTCTTTGTGTTTTCGAGTCAGCCTTTCCCACAGCTTTTTACAGTTGAAGAGGTTGCAGCCTCAAACTTCTGAGACTACATCAATGTGGCTATTTTATTCAAAAGATGTTCATGCTGCCTTTGGCAGAACTTCCAGGGCAGCTTCCAGAATCTCACTCAGTGCATTACTGGTCTTGCCAGACCCCTGAATGTGTGAGAACAGCACATTTTGGCACCCCGTCCCCACATGCAGGCAAAACTGCTGGTGCACCAGTGGTTCGCCTTGAGAGCAGCCATTTGTATTTTTGCTTCTTCAAAAAAAACAAAACAAAAAAACCCAAAAAACCCGTGACCATTTCATAACTTTCTAATGAAGTCAACAAGCCAAGCAGATAAAGCAAAATATACAGAACACCATCCTATGACTGGTCATGTTTCCTGCATGACCTACAAGATGCTCCCTAGAGGTAAGTTAATGGGGTGCTCCTTTCCTCTCTTCTGGGGCTTCTCCCTTTGCTTCCCCTCTGACCTGCAACCCCCAACCTGCTTCCAGCTGTTCAGAGGCTCTGAGAACCCCACCATCTAATCACATTTCATAAAGAAACCCATCATATGGAAGCTGTTGTTGTCACTCATTACACTTTTATATTACCCATAGCCAAAGTTCTCCGGCTGGTTCATACCATCGAGGTCACCCATCCAGATTCCAACCAGGCCCGATCCTGCTTAGCTTCCAAGATTAGGCAGGATCAAGCACTTCAGGCTACACAGAACGATAACTGTACAACCCCTGCAGCCAGTGATCTTCCCTTCCATTTGCCAAGAGGACTCACTCCTGCTAGCAGAAGCCCAGGTGGAGATTTCCTGGACTCCCCTTTCTCACTGCAGGCCTCAGTGCTGCCTCCCGCACTCTCCTAGCCAGTCCCGCCACAGATTTTGGAGGACATGGGAGGTGGCTGGAAGGGGGAAGGAGAATAAATTACAATCACCTCCCTCCCCTCACTTGCAGAGTGAGAATTTAAGGTTTGCACCTCTTTTTGCTCCCAATAATTATCAGCACGTACCTTCCTATATATTTCACATGGGGCGGGGGCTGCACTGTCAGTGATTTTTAGCCAGCCAAGCAATGCAGACTTGTCTTTGTCATTACCTGTTAGAAGTTTCTTAGTTTAGTAGTTAAAAATGGGTTTAAGATGCTTATTTTATGCTTACTTTATTTTCGCTTATTTTATGTTATTTTTAATATTTATATTTTATTGCATTTTAGCAACCATTATGTATTGCCCAGAAAGTTTCAGCTACTGGGTGGCATAGAAATAAAATAAAAGGATAAATAAAATTATTATTATTATTATAACATTTCTATGCCGCCCCTTGACGAAACCTCGGGGCGGCTTACAACATGATAAAATATATTGAAATACAATAGTACATAATAAATTACCATTAAATACAAAAATACAAAAAATACATTGATTTACAAATATAAAATTAGAATTATCAGTATAAAATAAAAATATAGGAGGAGAAAGAGAAGGAAGAAGAAGTTGCCCTGGCCAGATCATATGTTTTAACAATTGAAATGATGTTTAAATAAAAAGGTCTTTACCTGGCGCCGAAAAACCAGTAACGACGGAGCCAGGCGGACCTCTTTGGGGAGTGAATTCCATAGGTTGGGCGCCACCGCAGAGAAAGCCCTCCTCCGGGTACTTACTCTCCTAATTTCTTTCATGGAGGGTTCCCGGAGAAGGGACTCTCCCGCAGATCTCAAGGGGCGGTCGGGCATATACGGACGTAAGCGCTCGTTCAGGTAGCCAGGACCCAAGCCGTTTAGGGCTTTATAGGTCATAATCAACACCTTGAATTGGGCCCGGGCTTCAATGGGAAGCCAGTGAAGCTGACGGAGGACTGGAGTCATGTGAGCATAACGCCCCGTCCCCGTCAGCAACCTGGCAGCTCTATTTTGCACCAATTGAAGTGTTCGGACTGTCTTCAGGGGAAGCCCCACGTAAAGCGCGTTACAGAAGTCTAGGCGGGAAGTCACCAGCGCATGTGTCACCGTCGCCAGGCAGTCGTACTCCAGGTAGGGGCGCAGCTGATTAATCAGCCGAAGCTGAAGGAAGGCGTTCCTCGCTACCGCTGTCACCTGAGCTTCCAAAGAAAGCTCCGGGTCGAGGAGTACTCCTAAGCTGCGGACCTTATCCCTAAGAGGGAGTGTTGCACCATTCAGGACCTGGTCAAATCCACCCTCTCCGAAACCCGATCCGCCAACCAACAGGACCTCCGTCTTGTCTGGGCTGAGTTTCAGTTTATTGGCCCTCATCCATTCCCTTACCTCGGCCAAGCACCGGTTCAGCACAGCCACTGCCTCACCTGGATTAGTGGAGAACGAGAGGTAAAGCTGGGTATCATCAGCATATTGATGATTCCGCAGCCCACACCTCCTGATGACCTCTCCCAGCGGTTTCATATAGATGTTAAATAGCAGAGGGGATAGAATGGAGCCCTGTGGTACCCCATGGCATAGTGCCATGACGTAGAGACATGGTCCCCCAGCACTACCTTCTGGAATCGACCGTTGAGATAGGAGCGGAACCACTGCAAAGCAGTGCCTCCAACCCCCAATCCCGCAAGTCTATCCAGAAGGATACCATGGTCGATGGTATCGAAAGCCGCCGAGAGGTCCAGAAGAACCAACAGGGATGTACTCCCCCTGTCCTTCTCCCTGCACAGGTCGTCGTACAGGGCGACCAAGGCAGATTCAGTACTGTACCCGGGTCTGAAGCTGGACTGAAAAGGATCCAGATAATCAGTTTCATCCAAGAGTGCTTGGAGTTGTCCCGCCACCACTCGCTCCAACACCTTGCCCAGAAACGGGATGTTGGCCACAGGTCTATAGTTAGTGGCCATCTCTGGATCCAGTGACGCTTTCTTCAGGACCGGTCGTATTACCGCCTCCTTTAAAGGGGCAGGCACTCGACCCTCCCTCAGAGAAGCGTTAACCACTTCCAAGATCCAGGTCCCAATCCCGTGCTTGGAGTTATTTATTAACCAAGACGGGCAAGGATCCAATGGGCAAGTGGTGGGACGTACTCTTCCAAGCACCTTGTCCACATCATTGGGCTGCAATAATTGAAATTCCTCCAATAATTTTGGACCAGACGGTGGCATTGGCGACTCCTCAGAGACCTCTGATTCATTAGTGGCGTCCAGCTCGTGACGAATCTGAGCGATTTTCTCCCTGAAATGCCTGGCAAAGTCGTCACAGCAGGCCTTTGAGGGTGGCATCGGATCTTCCTTAGGACCCAGGCGAACCAGGCCTTGCACCACTCGAAAAAGCTCCGCCGGACGGCATTGTGAGGAGGCAATGGAAGCGGAAAAAACTTCTTTTTCGCCGCCTTCACTGCCACAGCATAGGCCCGATAGTGGGCTCTCAAGTGTGTTCGGTCAGATTCATCCCGTGATTTCCTCCACCTACGCTCTAGCCGTCTCCCAACTCGCTTCATCGCCCGTAATTCAGGTGTATACCAAGGGGAAGAGCGGACTCTGCCCGGTGGGAGAGGACGCTTAGGAGCGATCGTGTCCACAGCCCTGGTCATCTCTCCGTTCCACAGTTCGACCAGAGCCTCGACAGGAGCACCAGTCTTGTCAGCCGGAAACTCCCCCAGGGCCCTCAGGAATCCATCCGGATCCATCCGGCTCCGGGGGCGGGCCCATACAATCGGGTCCGCACTCTTATAGAGGGAGAGGCCGCTCTCGAGCACAAACCTCACCAGGAGGTGATCTGACCATGACAGGGGAGTCAAACATAAGTTCCTCACCCTCAGGTCATCCTCTTCCTGCCCCGTCGAGAAAACCAGGTCCAGAGTGTGTCCACGTTCATGGGTCGGGCCAATGACGTGTTGAGACAGGCCCATGGCCGTCATAGAGGCCATGAAGTCCTGAGCCGCCCCGGTCAGTCCAGACTCAGCATGGAGATTGAAGTCCCCCAGGACCAACATCCTGGGGGTCCTCAACACCAGGTCCGAGACGGTCTCTGTCAGCTCAGATAGGGAGACTGCTGGGCAGAAAGGTGCATGGTACACCAGTAGAATCCCCAAACTGTCTCGTTCGCCCAACACCAAGTAGAGGCACTCCAGCCCTGGTCTCAAAGGGACCGGAAGACCCGTGAGAGCATCAGCATTCCCCCACCTGGTGCCCTTGAGAGGCTGTGGACTGCAGCTTCCAGTATCCATGGAGTGAATCCAGGCATGGCGCAGAGGGAAGTGGTGGTCCAAATATCTGGGGGTACCAGGTGGTGCAGGGTAGCTACACATCCTCAACTGTACACTTTACATTTCTCTAAACATATAAATAAATAGAGAGGCATATCACACAGATGTACAGTGGTACCTCGGTTCATGAATGTCTCAGTTCACGACCAAACTGGGTCACACACAGAAATTTTGGAAAAATTTTGCCTCAGGTCGCAAACTCTGCATCAGGTGACGATCATGACCGTGGCCGTCTTCCCTGCATGGACATGATCGCAATCGTGGCCATCTCCTCCCCACCCCAAGCACGATCGCTCTCGCATGATTATCGTTTGGCTCTCCCGCCAAACAATAACCTCCCCCTCACCTAGGTTACTCTTCTCTACTGTACTTTGTTACTTTGTTTCAAATTTTCGTGATAAAAAAAATATATTTACAGAATGGATTAATCTGATTCACATGGAACCTTATGGGGAAATTTGACTCGGCTTGTGACCAATTCAGGTTGCGGCCAGTTGTGGAACGGATTAAGTTCCTGAGCCGAGGCACCAGTGCGCACACCTACCCACAAGCACACGCTTACTCCTTCATTTGGATTGTTGCTGCAATCCAGCCATTCCCCATCTGGTCATTATTTAACATAAAATAAATAATGATGAAGTAGATAAATGAGCAAAGAGCAAAGAACAAAAGCATGCACTTCAATGAAATAGATAAAATGGACCTACAGCCACCTCGGACCAGAGGAAGAGACAAAACTGCCTATCTGGACAGCCAGTTCTAACAAAAACACCCTTTTAAATAAAAAAGGAACAGCTTAATAAATAGAACAAATGGACTAAGCTGGGGTGGGGAACTTCCAGGGCTGTGCTGGGGAGCTTCCAAATGCAGCAAAGGCAACAAGATATGCAGAACTGGCCCTGGGGAATCCAAGCAGAGCCCTGCTCCTGGTCTGTGCCCAAGCGCTCAAGCACATGGACTGGGAATGTATGGCTGGAGATCCAGGAACAGGACAGAGTGGTGGCCAGCCCTGCACAGAACGGCCTCTGCCCAACTCCATCTGCCTCCAGTTCTTGCGTGCCCACGCATAGAACAGCGCGGGCACGCCGTGCGGGAGGCCAGACTCGCAGCATTTTTCAGTCATTCCCGGGTGAAAACCCTGGTCGCTGCCTCTTCGAGGGCATCCCCCTTGTTGTAACCCCCCTCATAATCAAGCATGTAGCCAGGGCATGGCTCATCACAAGTAGCATGTAGCCAGGGCATAGCTCATCACGAGTAAAAAGCATGATCAGGGTGTCCTGTTCACATGAGAACAAGGACACGAACACGGATGTGCACGCTACACAAGGCTGACAACAAAGCAGGCTACGCTCCAGCATTACCAGTATCACCGCAGACGCTATGCCCTTGTACCCACGCTTGCTTGCTTTAGCATGATAAATGTGCAAATGTGCTTTCCCCTATTGTTCCCCTATTGTTCGCTGTCATTCAAGCATAAGTATGGAAGAGTATAAAAATCCTGCCTTCGATCTGCTCAGCACCACACTCCTAGAGTGCTTGGTCCCTGCAGGAAAAATAAATCTCTCTCTCGATAATTCCAACCTGTCTCTGGTCTCGTCCGTAAAATCGCGCCATACAACACCCCTCCTGATCGCTGGTTGAACTGCTGTGATGTCACGGAATCTCAAACCTCTGAACTGCTCAGGGTAGGAGGAAGGTCAGGCTATGTAAGCTGCATTTTGGAATTCTGTTTCATAGAAACAGGTTGTGATCATCGATGTGGCTGAAGGGAGAAAAGCCACAACGGCCTCCCCCAGCCTGACACCCCTTTGCTGCTTCGAACTGCCACTGGTGTCACTTTTGGCCACTGGTCAAACTGGCTGGAACTCATAGGAGCTGCAGTTCAAAACACCTAAAGGGTCATTTTGGGAGGCTGAAATCAGCAGCGATCCATTCAGGACAACCACTGAGACAGCATTTTGGAACATGGAAACTATATTCTTTTTCTGGGGCATGCAGAAAAAGTTCCATGTATAAATTCAAAACAACCAACAAAAACTGTTTCCTGAAAATGGCTTAGCAGGTGGTCTGATAGAGAGAAGCACATGTTCCAAATCCTCCAGTGCAGAGTGGCAGAGGTTATCCCCACCTCCCTGCTCCTTTCCTTCTGCCTTCTCACGAGATGGGCATTCTTGGCCATCTAGGTGGAAAGCCTCAGAAGGGGACCTCTCATATCCTGGTCACTCCTGTTTTCCCCCCTCCCCCACCCCTGAGGTTTCAGGGTCTTTCTGCATCAGCTGCAAAGCGATGGGGGAGAAGATCCGACCCTTAAGTCCAAGGATGGTGCAAAGTTCTCAGCCCCTGGAGCTGGGAATCCAAAACAAGCTATGGACCTTAGACAACACCTAGAACCCAAAAGATCACTATCTCTGTATATTGTTGCTGATACGTGAAGCTTAAGCTTGTCCTGGGCATTTACAGTACTTAGCACAACAAACTGAGAGGTTCAAAGTGCTTACTCAAATGCTCCAACTGTATAGACATAATTGTCCGACCACAATGCGATGTGATGTTTTGCTCATACCTTCAATGCTGCTCTAGCCCCTCCATCCTGAATCAGTTTCCACTTCCCCCAAGGAATTCTGGGAATTTGTGTATAACATTCAAAGTGCCAGGTTGCAGGAACAATCATCTGTGGTAGACATCCCTAGATCTGCTCTTCTCTTTGGATTAAAAGAATGAGCATCTTCTAAAAGTGATTAGGAAAAGAAAATCAGAACACACATTTCCTGGCCAGACTGTTTTTGTTTTGTTTGCATATTGAAATCCCTGAATAAGGTTAAAAAAGACACATGTAAATATTATTAATGTACAAGTACCTTACCTGCGCATACTAAGAAAATGTGGAATTATAGTGCCATCTGGAGGTGGAGGAGAGATCCCACCAAAGTGAATAAAATTCATTTAGAATAAAGTAGCAATGAACAGATCATGTAGAAAAGACACACACATTGCAAATGCAGGTATCCGTACACCTTATAATCATTTGTCACCGTTCCTTAGAAATAGGGGTAAGGCACTACATGCATTTACAAATCTATGCCCATTTTATACCATGCTAATTTCCATGGCGTCTCCCACAGGATTCTGGGAATTTCAGTTAGGAGAATTTGCCAAATAGATAAGTTGTGGGGGAGGTTTTTGGCTGCTATCAGGAGCAGGCAGAATGTGTGCTTCATGCAGTGACCACAGCCTGTTGAAACAAGTGAGAATTACCTACTCTCAGTATATAAGCAAACCCTCAAACTCATTACCATTTCCAAACACAAGTTTTAAAAACTCAATGCCTCACTGGGGTTTGAGGGAAAGGAGAGAGAGAATGTCAGGCACTGCTTAAAGACTGGCATCAGCCAAGCCCGATCCTGTTAAGAGTTTACTGCAGAAATATCACACATCAGGGAAGAGAAATGGGAATACTGTTGGCACTCCAAGGTAAATTCCAGGGAGTGGGGAAATCTTTTGAAACTTATCTTGTGGCACTGTCCTGGCAGGTAGCAGTAAAACCACCTTAGTGGAGGCTCTCCAGCTTCCCATCCTAACAGGTCTAGAGCACAGCCATGGAGGAACTGGCACGTAATGGTGGTGGGGGGTCCAGACAATGCTGCAGTGGGTGTACGAACAGGTTTGCCACCTGCTCCCTTGCCTATGAAGCGACCTGTGGTCCTCCTGCTGTGCCAGCCTCAGCCCTGGCCAGCACAGTCAGTGGTCAGGGATAATGGTAATGGCAGATCTGAGCACCTGGAGCACCCAAGACTAGGCTGTGGAGCAGGGGTGGGGCACCTCCAGCCCACAAGGCCCCCCATCTGGCCTGTGGAATTCCCCCATCTGGCCACGTCCTCTCCTAGGTGGGGGACGGGAGCAGAGTGCAGGTGAAGCATCCAATCCTAGTCAGCGGCTAGTGCGCGCCGGCTGCTACTTGTGCTGGGTGGCTTCACCTTCACAACACCTTCCTGCATAAGGCAAAGCCAGAGGCCTGCTCAGAGACCAGCAGAAGGGCCCTCTGGGTGCCACTGAGGGCGTGGGCATCCAGTCCCTGCAGGGCTGGCAGGGGGTCACTTGCCACCAGCCCCTCCAAAAGCATTCCTTCCTCTGGCTTTAGCTCCTTCCCACCCCACCCCACCGGCAGACCACCCAGCAGGGACGGCCTGCAACTAAGTGTCGGGCTGAAGACCACGGCACAGTCTCCATGCAGCAGCTGTGCTCTCAGTTTTGCCTCAGTCCTCGTGCTCTGCCTCCAGTTCTTACGTGTCTATACAGAGGACGTAAAGACACGCCTTTGTGGGAGGCACCCTGGGCCTGACTTCCCCGCCACCCCAAGTACCTTTTGCGACCGCAGAGACAGGTCACCTCTTCTCACAGGAACACGACACTTCCCTGCGGTGCCCCGAAAGGCGAAAGGGTTCCAGTGTTGCATCTGGACAAAGCAGAGAAAGCAGGAGGAGAGGAATTCTGTCTTTGACATAAGATGCAGCTGCAGTCCCAGCCTCATTTACCAGAGAAGAGGTCCCGCCTTGCGCTGTGGGTTCCTGCTGAGTAACATGATCAGGACTGCGCCCTCTCTCTCTGATCATCCAGAGCGGTTGGTTGAGCAGGTGAACTTCCAGATGTTGTTGAACTATTTACATAATTCCTGATCACTGGCCACATGGGCTGTGTCTCATGGGACACGGAGTCCCCCAACATCCTAGAGGCTCACCAGTTCCCCAGCCCTGGGATGATGGGGCAGGGACTTCTTTTGGCTCACCAGGTAGTATTTTGCCAGATAGTCTGTCTGTATACTCCAAACCTACAGGAAGGACACCACACCAGCCTTCCCCAGTCTGGTCCCTCCAGACATTTTGAATATGACTCCCAGCAGTCCTGTCCATTGCCCACGTTTGGCTGATGGGAGTTTCCAAAACCTCTTGAAGGCACAAGATCACAGAAGGGTGACCAACATAATTTTGATATTCCAAATTCTTTACCTAAGGAGAAAAGCTGAAGGAGAAATGATATTCTGCTTGGGCATGTATAAAGTTCATGTTTCATTCAGGATCCCCACTTGCGGTTTTGCAAAACAGGATATATGTGAGACCGGCAACAAAATGGAGGAGGATAGCGAACTCTCTGTTCAGATTCCAGCCACTCCATTCTAGTTCCTCGGCCTGGTTTCCCATTTTCCCCTCAACAGGGGCTCCACTTCCTTAGGTTGTTCTGGGGTCACCCCACCCCACTTTGGGGCAGTCACACTGGCCCTCAAGTTGGAAAGTTGAAGGCCGACATGGCTACAAACTGAAACAGAGGGGCTGCTGCTAATTCACACAATGCAATTGCTGTCATGTTGGGGTGAGTGTATACTGAGGTCACTACTGTCAAGATAACCTCAGCCGTAGGTTTCCCCATCTCTTTAACCCCCCAACCCTCAGCCAGCTCATGGGAAGCACAGGCTAATTCGGGTTCAGAGGGATTCAAACCAGACCCCCACATCCTACTGAAACTGGTGGGTCAAGTAGCCAGCCTCCTATGTGCAAAAAGGACATGGAAATAGTAAAATAATTGAAGAACATCACACAGAAGAAATCCCAGTGAAAACAGGGGCCATACGCACATGACTGGTTCAACAGCGGCAATCAAAAGAAGGATCTGCTTTGAAGAAGCTCTGTGGAGGTTTGGAATAATACATTCAGGTTAACATTCACAGTTCCAACCCTGTGGAGCCAAGAGTCTCAGACTCCAGCTGGTTGCAGGCAGCTTTGTTAATCGTCACTTACCTGGGTCTGCAGCTGACCACGCACCAAGACCTGGTTCGCCTTCCTTCCTTCCTTCCTTCCTTCCTTCCTTCCTTCCTTCCAGCCAGATGTGGCTGACTTCAGTCTTGCACAGTGTGTGCAATCACACACAGCCCTGTAGTCTATCAATGTGTTTTTAATTTGTGAAGCAAAAGCACACTCTCAAAATCTCTTAGAAGTGAAGGCTTCCCAGAGGGATTGCAACAGAAACAGACAGCTTTTTGGTATCTTAAAGACCATCAAAGTTACTGCTGTGGACTGAAGTCCCCTTCATCAGAGACAAGTGATGATATCCTAAGTTAGAAGCTGAACCTACACCAAAGAGCGCATATTCTGATCTACTCAGGATAATTGTGCATCTGATGAAGGGGACTCGAGCACAGGCTTCTCCAACCTGGTGCCCTCCAAATATATTGGGATTACAGTTTCTTGTACCCCCTAGCCAGTCATGAAAACTTAGGTGATCATAAATATGCTAGGTGAAGATGCCAAGACTCTTTGTTGCATTAAACAAGAAGGCACCACTGATCAGTGTTAAGTGATCCTAAGTATACAGCCTTGTTGAAGACCAAAGGATCTAACTTGGTGGATGGGACCAAAATCCTAGCCCAGCATCCTGTGCAAGAATCCCAGCAACCAGCTCTGTGCAGGGGTGTCCCATCTACCTTTTCCCCTTCCGATCTCCAGTTGCATTCCCTACCTTGGGAATATTTTCTAATGGAAAGCAGATAATAAATCATACAAATAAAGAAAAAATGTTTTTAAAATGATGCAGGGGGAGTTTGAGCTAGTAAACATCGTAATGGGCTACTGACTTTTGTGGAAAAATCTGCAAAGGGGGCAACCACGTCATCAAGCAAATGGGTAGCTTTCTCCCCACTGCCCCACCAGGGTGTGGGTGTGTGATTCACACACTCAAACCCCAGTAGAGTTGAATAGGGAGAACTGGACTTCACCATCCAGTCCCAACCCTTTATATGTAGGAGCATAAGATGCTGCAGGATACTGAGTCAGAACATGGCTCCGGCTAGCCCAGCATTGCTGACACTGACTTGCAGGGGTTCTCCAGGGTTTCCTTCCCAGCCTAAGTGGGAGTTGCTGGAGATCAAACCTGGAACTTTCTGCATGCAAAGCAAGTGTCTATCACTCCGCACTATCCTTAACTCACCAGTGAGCTCCAACCTGACCACACCTGTGCAGCTCTTAGGTCACATGCCAGATCTCAGCCTGCTAACAGTATGACCCTCCCCAGAAGCAGGGCCACCGAGTTCAATGGAAGCTATTTCCAGGTATGGGGGATTGCAGGCTAAAAAGCCCCATCACCCAGAGCTCGTTGTTCACGGAGTGGACAGAACTGCCCTTACGCCAAGTCAAGCCACCAGTCCACCTAGCCCAGCTCCAGCCTTCCCCAATCTAGTGCCCTCCAGATGCTTCGGATTACAGCAAAGCTCCTGACCCATTGCCCTGCTGAGTGGGGCTGATAGGAGCTGAACCTCAAAACATCTGGGGGACACCCAAGATTGGGGACGGCTGGTCTACTGTGACAGGCCAATTCCACGTTTTGCTCCTCATGAGCCCAAATGTCAGCAAACCACAACACAGGCACCCCACTCGTGGTATACTCCCTTGCAGCCTAAACCGCTAAGGGCCACGCTGTGGGGTGAATGGCCACGGCATGCAGCCACTGCCACTGCAGCACGGTCCTTTTCCACCACCAGCGCATTGACCCCCCGCCCTGAGGACGGACCACCCATCGATGCAGAGAGCAGCAAAGGCAGGCTGTGTCAGGAGCTCAGTCTCTACAGCTGCTCCCAGATCTCTGGTAAATCAGAAGAGAGGCGGCTGGGGAGAGAAATACGATAAGAATCGGCTCATATTACACGGTCACCCACATGCTCATAAATATAATGCTGACATGAAGGAATGTGTAATTTTTTTGCTAGCTCTTGGAGCGTGTGAAGAATTCACTACTGACCCCTAAAAGGTGAAGCTTGACTCCGAGGAATTCAAAGTATTTTCTCAGCATCGTGGGCAAGCCCCATCTGCCAGTTACGACTTTCTGGACAGAGAAATGCCACTGAGGGGAGGGGCCCTGTGGCAGGACACATCGCAGCCGGACCTGCTCCAACGCTCTGCATCACCAGTCAAAAAAATCAGGTGATGGGAAGGATCCATTTTCTGCCTGAGCCTGCCAGAAGGCCAGGAGACATTTCTCATGTCCTTGGGGAGAAGGCCACCACCAGCAACAAGTTCTGAGAGCTAGAGGCCTCCTCCATCACCAGGTGGCATGCCAATGTCCATCATGTACCTATGTCCACCACAGGCAAGATGGGGCTGTTGCACTCATGTCCTGCTTGGGAGTGTCGTGTGGGTCACTTTGGGAAGAGAATGCTGGAGCAGATGGGTGAGAGGATCAGGCCTGGGCCCATGATCCCCAGCAATTGCTCTATATAGGCATACTGCCCGATACCGGATAGCAAACAACCAACGAAGGACATGTCCTCCATGAGCTTGTACAAACCCCTTTCAAAGTCTTCTGATTCGGTGGCCACCACTACATCTTCTAGAAGCAACTTCCCTAGGCTCGCTAAGCAGTGACTGGGAGTATGAGCAAGAGGATGTTAATATGCTCATGCCTCGTCTGTGTACGTCCTGCAGGGATTGTGCCAGCTATGGAGGGAAACGGGACACTGGACCAAACAGGCCTTCAGCCTAATGCAACAGGACTCCTCTTAGGCTCCAAAACTCAGTGATGGAAGACTGGTTTCCCTGGGGGCGCCACTGGCGAGAGATCACATACAGGGTTTGGTGTGGGATGCGTAAGGCTGGCTAGGGAAGTATCTCCCAGCACCAGAGCCCAGGTCATTTTTGGGGACCACCAGGTGCCTGCTGGGTGCTGGGACTTTTGTGAGGAACCCTGACCCTTGGTCTGAGCCACTGAAGCAAAAGCGCATGCTTGGGAACACATGACAGATCATTTCTGCCTTCACCATTAAGGAGTTCCCAAGAATGTGCTCTTGCTTTATAATCTGAACACACAGGAACAGACCACAAGAATTGTCACAAAAACAGAGTAAGAGGAGAGCATGCAAAACTGAAGCACACTCAGCCCAGCTCTTTCTGTCGTCATGCTATGGGTATCCCTGCATTGCTAAACGTGGCCCTGGGAAGAAAAGCTCCACGGGCACAAGCCCCTGTGGGTTCTGCTAAGGTGCGAGGAATTCACAACAGGGATGTTGATCCTTGTGGCACGTACAGAGTCCCGCAGAAGCCAGCCTCAGCTCCGGTGGTCAGTCACCTCGGGGAAGGGGCATGGTGCTCACAGCCTAAGCTGCCCTGGGAAGAGGAAATGTCACCCGGAGCAACCTGCTTAAAGATTAGGGTTACCTCCTTCTCTTCTCTTGCATCCATAAATAGCAACTTCCCTATTAAAAGAAAATTTCGTAGGTAAGCAATTAAACCATCTGCACACCATGAGAAGCAGCTCATCACCTGAGGACTTTTGCATGTGCCAAGTGAATATTAACAACATGCTGGCAAGTTCAATTAAAAACAGCTATTTATACTATGACCTGATTTGTTTGATTAAATAAGCCATGGTTTGTTAGCTAGGAGTTACGCAAACACATGCAGAACCAAGTGAACGTGTTGGCTCCAAACTACTCATCCATATCTGCTTTGCATAAGGTGCTCTTGGGTTGTTCTTTGTGACATCTGAACCCAGAAGTCTGGGCTGTTGAGGAAGAAACAACCTACTTTTAATCCAAAAACAAACAAACAAACTATGTTTCTCCCTCAGCTCTGAAGTTGTACTCTCACATGCTTTGAAACAACCCACAGCTAACAACGACTGGGTTCAGACAACACGTTGAATATGGGTTGCCATTGAACTGCATTTGGAATAAAATGCTGCTTATGTTTTCTGAACAAGGCTATACCAACAAGGTATAAATTGTTAAAAAAAGAACCCATGAACAGAACTCAAAGTTTATTGTTGGGTTGTGAACTGTGGATTTTTCATTATGGTTTGTTATCTTGACTGGGTTCGGACAACATAAAAACCCATTTTCAACCTTCATACACACTCAACCCTTGAACTGGATGAACCCAGTGATTACATAATCTCACAATATCTCAAGAGCAGCACCCTGGGGAAAACTGTCAAGAGCACACACACACTTTTTAATCTACTGCAGGCTTTCCCAACCTGGCATGCTCCAGATGTGTTGGATTACAAATCGTATCATCTCCAACACAGCCAAGCTTTTTACTTAGCTGGGTTGAGAGTTCTGAGGGTTCCCAGTTGCCTTTCTTTCTCTAATAAATTGTGTCACAAGAAACCCCTTAATGCAGGGGTACCCAGCCATCTACCTCCCAATGGTTTCCACAAAGCGCTTTGCTCCATGTCCCCTTTAATTTTTTAAAATGGAAAAGCTTAGGAGGCCAGGTTCTTCTTCTGTTCCTGAAGCTGCTGCTGACTTGCCTTGTGGCATGTTCCTGCCCCACTCAAGAGCTAAGGGGTAGAGTGAGGGGACAGAGTGAGGCTAGGAGTGGGGGAAAGTGATGAGATAAAGAGGTGGGCGGGTTGTGAGAGAGGAACAATGGGAGAGCAGGGCAGAAGAAGTGAGGCTCAAAGCTGGGGAGGCAAGAAGGAAGACAAGAAGTAGGACTGAGGAGAGAATGTACATGCAAAAGAAATATCTATGTGGGCAGAAGAGAGGGCAGGCCAGAAAGCAGCCCTTCCATTTCTCCATCCCTCTCAGCTTGCAGCCTTGTTATTTATCACCCTCCACCCCTTCCTGACTAGCCAGGCCCTCAAAACAGCCATTTTGTGACTAGCCACATCCTCATGGGAGCCATTTTGTGGTGCTGCCCACAAGTTTCCAAGTGTGCTCACAGATCTAAAAAGAGTTTGGGGACCCCTGTTTGAATGGGTAGTGCTGGTTTAAAATAATGAAAATCCATACTGGAGTTATTTTCCTAAACACTCTCAATGTCCACATACAGATTATTTCTACATTCATAAAAAGCAGCTAGCACTTCAGACTGGGACTGGGGAGACGGCACTCAGCTGAAGAGGGTACACTGGTTAATCTTGGGCAAATCATGGTATTTCAAGCTAACCTACTCTTCAAGGTTAGGAGGTTAGCTTGAAATAGGAGTAGGAGAGTGGGAGAGGGAGATAACAACTTGCACAAACATGCTGAGCTCACTGGGCAAAAGGCTAGGATACAGATATAACAATACAAGTTGATAACTGTCTGCTGACATAGATCACATGAGATCTTGGATGGGTTTTGTCACTATATTGTCTTAGGAGAGGCTTAGGGGGTTCTCTGGATGACGTTGGGCCAGTCTGGAGGCCTGGATTCTTATTCTCATTCTGCTGTGAAACTCTCTGGGTGACTTTGGCCCGATCGCTGATGTGCCACATAACCTACCTCAGAGGGTTGTTGTGAGGAAAAAATGGAGTTACTTGTGTAAGCTGCTTGGGATCCTTGTGGGGAAAGGTGAGATATAAATACTATAAATAAATAGAAAGGAATCATTACTACATTACATTTCCATACCGTTTGTAGCCAAAAGCTCTCTGGGTGGTTTACAACATTTAAGTTATGAACCAGGCTTGACCCTACTCAGCTTCCAAGATTAGGCAGGATCAGGCACTTCAAGCTGTACAGAATCTGCATGCAAGATTCATTAATTACTAGGAGAAATATTCTGCAGCTGTCAGAATATTCTGACAGCAGTAATTTTATCAGCTTAACTGAGGAAGCAAAAGGGAAGCTAAAAGATGGGCTTCACTGGCTCTCTTCTCCCTGAACTGTTCCCATCTCATCAGATCATTATGAGAACTCTACAGTTTCTGAACTGGTGCCTAAACTTCCCCGTTTTCCTTTTCTCTCCGCTTCCCCCTTTTCTTCCCTGCACATTATTTTAGACTGTATACATGAGTGCAGCGCCTGTCATACTTTGTTGCTTTGGATTTTTTTTTAAAAGAGCATCTGTGCACAGCTCTGAGAATCTTTTTGGCTACACAGTATAGCAAAATTGCTTTAAATAGGTCAAATAGGGTCTAAATCACTTCTGTCCCAAGATGTATCAGACTAGAATGGCCACTGCTGGCTGGAGACGAGGCTCAACACATCTTGAGAGAACCGGCTCTGTGCCGACTGTAGCTCATGCTTCTCAATATGTGTTGGCAATGCCCAGTAGCTGGTTCTTTTTGGGAAGACTCCTGGCCAAGTAAAAGGGCATCTCTTTTCAAAATATTATAATTATTACATTATATTTATATCCCAGTTTTCCCCCTTATGAGGATTCCAAGCCTTCCTCCTCTTGCTCCTCCCTGTATTATCTTCACAACATCCCTTTGAGCTGGTTTGGCTGAGTCAGTGGTTGGGCCAGTCACTCAGGGAGTTTCACAGTTAAGCACAGGCTCAAGCGACCTTCTGAGTCCTGTTACGCCACACTGGCATAAATGCTGTAGATGCAGCTTCCCTTTTTGTAGTGCTGCCCAATCCCTTGGCCCTTTCTATGCAAATATTAAATGCACAAGAGCCCCTCAGGATCAGGACACTGACAATCCTACAGATAACACACTCATCATCGCAGTATTTATTTAAAAACACCACTCATTGTACAACACATACATTTGGTACACTATACCCCTCCCTATTCATGTTAGCCATGAAATATTGACACCGCGATGTAAATATTACTATCTTCACATACTGAGCACAAAGGATGAAAGCACCGCTCTAGCCACATGCGTAACAAGGCAAGAATAATTCATAAGGGGAGGCAAATCTTTCCTTGCTCAGGCATATATCTATGAAGAGCAGGATAATGGTTCAACTTCCTAGGAAAATTAAACTCCGCCATACCTGCGCAAGGAAGGTTGTCCTTAAACCCAGGGAGACATTTGATCCATCTCACTCAGTACCGTCTACACACCGGCAACTTCCCCAACCTAGCACCGCAGAGGGATCAGATTAAATCTGGAATCGTTTTCACTAGAAGCGTCCGCTCCACTTCTTCCACTGATCTAGACAGAGATGAAGCGTCTCGGCGGCACGTTCGCAGTATAAGTACTGCCTACATTAAGTCTGCGCTGCGATGCCTGACAGTCAAAATGTATCCCAGGAGTGCCAATTTATATAAGCATCATCAAAAGAGCGGCCCAAGCAGCGAGTCCTCGTGAGGGCTCCCCTTTACTTGAACCTTTATGCCTAAAAAAGCTGCATCGGTTACACTTATTTAAAGATTTCTATCCCTTCCTATTACAGAAAGTCACTTCTGCCCGTATGTGCCAAACACACGTGTGCATTGCCAGACAAAAGAAGTTGCTCGTAAGTCCTTACCTTCCAGGTCGAAGGGCGGGGAGACCGGCTGCCAGAAATATCGGCTGGACACAGTCGCGCTTACCTTACCTAAGAAGCCCACCTAACTCCAACCGGACGGTCAGACTACGCATGGTCCGCTGGGGAAGAGCTCGGCTGCGGCTTGCTCAAGCCAGCCAGCCTCTGCTGCACGCTCTCCCTGAAAGCGCCTGTCGCGGGTTTCCCCGCTGCCCGACGCATCGCCTTGCCGCTCAGCGGCTGCTCCGCATGCGAGCAGGACGAGAGGTCCGCCGGAAAGCGCAGCCAGCACACACGGCCCCATGGCCGCCGCCGCCGCGGCGACTGCTGCCGCAGCTCTCAGTCTGGGCCGCGAGGCATGCTGGGAAGCCGCTCGGCTGCCCAAATTCCGTGCCCTCTCTTCCCATTGGCTGGAGACGTAAGCCACGTTGAGTGCCCCGCCCCCGAGTACGGTGGGCGGAGCTCCCTCGCCCGCATTCTCCTTTCCCGCAGTGGAGGTGCCGCGTGAATGTGAATTCGAATGTTTATTGTTGCCGCGCGATGGTGCTAAGCGGGTTGACTTCGAAGCAGCTCCTCGAATGGATGGCGTTTACGGCCTCCCAGACCGGCGGTGTAAGAATAAAATAAGGGCGCAATCCTGTGCGTGCGTAGAAAGGAAAAAGCACACGTGTACTGAAGTGTACATTGTGGAGGCTTCAGTCCTGTACAAGTTCGAGCAAATTCCACCGAAGGCGCTGGGGCGTTCTTCTGAGCAAAGAGGCGTAAACAAGGGACTAAATGCATTTCCAGAGGGTAGCCATGTGAGCGCGAAGTCCTAGGTGTGTTTGGATAAGAAAAGAATGCATGGCTGGCTAGGGCATGTTGGGAGTTACAGGACGTTTTCCTGTCTAAACATGTATTCTGTTAGTGTTTACTTAGGGGAAAGTGCCCATAAGTTTAAATAGAAACAACAGAGTGCCGTGGCACCTTAACTAACATAATTTGGGTGCAATCCCATGCAGGTTTAGACCTGAAGAGTCTTATAAATTCCAGCATTCCTCAGCTAGCATGGGGAGTGCTGGGAGTTGTAGGACCTTCTTGATGTCTAAATCTGCACAGGATTGCACCTTTTGTCTACTATTGCAGTAAAGGTAATGCAAGTTTATGCCAGAATGCAGGCAATCCTAACCCCAGCCAAACATGACATGGCAATTATCTGGAAATGAGTTTAGTATTTGCACAGTGCAAGTTTTGAGTGTCTACTTTGAAGAAAGCCCATCTGAAGCATATATGGACCTGACACCTGGGTTCCAATAAAAGTAACCACAGAAATGTAGTCTTGGTGAAGAAATGGTGTTTCCTTGGCTGATGGTTTACTTGCAAGCTTGGCAGAATGATTATGTCTGATGGTTACTGGGTGCCACTCCCGCTTTGGAACAGTGGTCAGTTTTGAAGTGCAGGCACTCATTATGGGTGTCTCCCAGACCCTCGTCCACAGGGAGGGCCTGCAAATGCAGACAACTGTGTGCTAAAATACATGAAGTGATGCACCCATGTAACTGCCCCCCAGCTAGAATGCATGGGCCCATAGCTGGGTGGGCCCTGGGGGCCTGTCCCCTTGAATTTTCCATACACCCCTTTTTAAATAATGCTACAAAAAGTTTACAATTTTGTCTTGAAGGGGGTCAGCAAACCGGATGAACTCCCCCCACCTTATGCTATCCCAGAATGTTTAGGCTGGCAGTAGGCCTGGGAGCACACAACATGCTGCCCAGTTTTGTAAGACCAGGCACAGAATTAAGAGCTAGCTGAAGCCATCTGACGTGGATTCAGCCCCTTGGCTAAAATATGCGTGTGCTCTTAAATTCCACCACGTTTTTTCCTGGGGCAGGGGAGTACTTTGAAATCGTAGTGCAGCCAACCAATGAGATAAATTCTCGGATTGGCTGTTTGTTGTGAGCTGTACGTGGCATCGCCTAGCAACCAATATTCAAGCCCTCTGCATTTTTCTTGCTGTCTTTTGTTTGCAAGGTTGCAGCTTTCTCTGCCTGCCCTCCCCAAGGTATCCTTTCATTACTCCTTGATCCTTTCATTTCCTTTGTCCCAGATGTAGGCAGTACCAGCTGCACCTACTAGAGGTTTCACCGGGGCTTTAGCATTGCTTCAGGGGGATGAATTAATAACTGGAGCATCTGGAAGAGGAAATATCCCAATTGTTACATTCCATATCCCAGCCTTGATCCCCTGCCCCCCCCATTCCCCCTCCCACAGAAGGAAAAACCCATTCTTCCAGAGTAGCTAGCAATTAAAAAATTAATGACAACAAAATCATGTAAAACAGTACTTCAGAAATCCTTTAGCCACCTAGCTGGCAGCAAGCCCTGTGGAACAAAATGGGTCTGAGTTCTGAATAATAATGTATGGTATTAGACTGAAATATCAGCACATTAACAACAGTAGTAGCTGTTAAAACCACTTAAAACTGCCAGATATTAGCACATCTGATTTGGAACATACAGGAATTTCATTTCTATTCACAAATCATCAGAATTTGCCCCATCTCACAACCCCAAGTGTGAGCACATTTTCCTGAAATGGATTGCACATTTCTGAACTTGTGATCATATTCAAGAATGCATATTTTTCTTGGGAAAAGTGCTTTAAAAAGTGTATTTTTAAAGTGTTTTCTCTCTTTAGTCAGTGGAGGAAGTTGGAAAATGCAGATGGAAATACACACACTTCCCTTTCGAATGAAAAGAAACACAGTTCACAAATGAGAACAGGACTGAGGTAAACTTGATTGATACTGATGTTTGGAGGATCTCAGTAAGCTTGAGCATCCCTGGTTCTCCCATCCCAACATCTAATGGGCATAAGCCAATAAAAAGGCACCAAAACATAACACAGTGAGTGCTAGATAAGCCTTTATAGGTAGAAAATTTCAGAGATAGGGTGCCACTGCCGAAAAGGCCTTGGATTGGTGCCTCTCTTACCTTAGATGGTGATGGAAATTGGAGAAAGGCCTCAGGAAATGTTCTCGGTGTCCAGGCAATTTCATGTAAGAGTTAAGGTCTCCTTGAGGTATACAGGGTACGAAACCATACAGGTCAGAAGGTCAGGTCCTACATATTAGATGTAGGTATCACTAATAGAAGAGTGTGTGTCTCTGTGTGTATGTATCTCACACACATAGATAGACTATGTGTATGAAGTCACTGCACATTCCTTGCGATATGAGGGCTGGAACCTTCATGCATTTAAGAAACAAAAAGGGCTGAGATCCTTGGAATTGCGTAGTAGCACACTATGAGTTTTGTACTGTCTACATGACCAAGGATATCCAACCCTTCCATGGTTGGTTGGTTGTTTTGCTTTAGGAATTCAAAGAACTGCAAATGGCATTAAGGAATGATGTAAATCACTTCTCCCTCTCTCTCATTCTGTGAGTAAGGAACGCATTTGGTGGCATCACATACAGGAGCCGCTAGGTGTCCACCGAGAGCCTTTGGTGATTCCCTATTGGGAAACCTCTTCCAGATTCTGCTTGACACCTGATACAATGCTGAGCCGTCTTGTGCAGGGGAGATCCCATTGTGCATCACTCCTTTGATCAGACCCACCAAGCCACATCACACTGTTGCGTGCAAGAGCACTGGAACACGCAACACAAAAACACCTACAGATGTTCAAAAGCAAAATCAGTGTTCATGTCTCTGGTCCAGATGGTGTTCTTCCTCCAGGAGAACCTTCTGTTCCACTAGAACAGCCTTCTCTGATGAGGCAGCCCATGTGGATTTGGACTACAATTCCCATCAGTACCACCCCAGAGGGCCAGTGGGTCGGGGCAGTGGCAGGCATAGTCCAGACCTCTGGGGAGCACCACATTGGTGAAGGCTGAGCACTCGAAAACTTAGGACAAGACTAACCGCAATCCCAGAGCAGTTTTCCAAACAGTCACTGAAACCAATTCAGATTTCACTCCGCAGCTGGTGCCACGACCCTGCTGGGGAAGCATCTGTTGATCAGTGATTCACTGGCGCTAACCCTCGGCTATGCTGCGCCACCCAGGGTGGCCCTTTGGTCATGGGTTCCCGGTGGGAATGGGCAGAATGGGAAAAGAGTGGGAGAAGTTCTCCGCTGTGGAACAGGTGCGCATCTTCAGCGCATGCTCTAGCAGTAATCCACTAAATTCTCCTTTTCCTGCCCGGAGAAAAAAGATGTTTGTGTGCCGGCCGGCCCCATCCCATACTACGTGCCTTGCCCCGTTTCCTTCCAAACGGACTTAGGACGGCCTGTGCGACGTCTGTCGATGTTTACAGAATTACAAACAGCAAGGAGAGAGAATTTCCCCCTCCTCCTCATGATAAGCGACTGTGTGATATAGTGATTAGCACAGCTTCCCCACACTTGGTGTGTGCCACACGTCTTGGATTTCCATTCCTATCAGCCCCAGCCTACATGGCCAATGGCCAGGAATGCTAGAAGTCCGAGTCCAAAGCATCAAAGGCTGCTTAGCCTGGCTTAACAGCTCTACTCAGCTGTGAATCTCTCTGAGAACCTTGGACCAGTCACTCACTCTTGCCGTCTTGCCTACCTTACAGGGTTGTTGTGAAGATAAAATGGAGGAGTGAAGTGTGTGCTCCCTGAAGAAAGAAAAAGGACTTAAATTAGTTTGGAATAACTAAAATCTTGTTGAGACCAGTAAGCCTACTCTGACTAAATCTGTATCCAATTCAGTGTAATAAATACTAAAACTTGGGATCACCTAGTGAAACTACTGGCAGTAGCTTCTGGATGGATGAGCATGTAATTAATCCATGCCATCTGTGATGAATGCTTGCTAAGATTGCCCCAAAATGAAATGAACAAGCTCATGGGTATTTTGAATAAAAACTTATATATGCGCATCTAGATATAAGTCTCATTAAACTCAGTAGGGTTTCCTTTTGAGCCCATGGACTGCCTCCAGGCAGAAGCAGCTTTACTGCTAAGCGGGTCAGTTGCAAGTTCCTGCTCATCCAAGGAAGCAAGCAAGACCCAGGAGAGCATACAAATTTGCACATGCTAATTGCCTGTCTGTCTGTGTCCTCCGTCCCCCAAGGACCTCTCTACTTGTAAAATAAAATATGTATGGGCTGGGGAGAGGAGAGCCTTTAAATTCAGGAAAAAACTTCAGGCAGAAAGCTCTGAGGGGGACAACTGGAGGCGACGCAGGGACGTGCAAGGTGTGCGTGGGGTGGGGGAGGGGGCAGATAGCCTCCCAGAGAGTTGGGGCTCCACGTGAGGGATTTGGGGGTCCAGCCTTAGTGGGCTGCTCCCTGTCACCGCCTCCAGCGGCC